TTTTTTTTTTTTTTTTTTTTTTTTGAGGCCAGTAGCAGCCTTTTCATGGTTGATTCCTCTTCTTTGTTTGTTTCAGTTGAGCAGATGACAGTTATTTAAAAAGTAGACAGTTACAATTGGTATGCAAGTAACTCAAGTACACTTAAATTATAGAGCATACAGTACAGTTGAAAGATACTTTGCGTGTAACTACATGTGTCTGTTCTAAGCCAGGGCTGTCCAACTAGTATGCCTTTGGGGTCTGCACCAGGTGAGCTGCAGGCTACTGGGATGCATGCCATCCAGCTGTGCCCCTACTGCTGCTTCACACAAGCATCCCTCATGCTGCTTAAGTAGGTGCCCCCCTGCTGCTGCTCTACTTAAGTGTGATCTCCCCTCTCCCCCATGACTTCCATTTTCTCTTGTGCTTGGCTTAGACTGTAGGGCAGAAGTGGACAAAATAGGTGGCTGTCCCTGCTGTGCTTCTCATGGGACCAAGTCCTACCCGCTGCCACCTGGGGGAGTATGTGCTGCGGTCCCGGCATCCCTGCTGGAGGGCTGCAGCTCTGGCCAGTGGGCACAGCTTCCAGGTAGGGCTGCTGCTGCCACTGGTGCAGCCAGCCAGGGAACTGCTGAGCTCCCCTCACCTACAATCCACTCCTCCAGTCTCTGCTGCAGCACTACAGGCAGCAGGTAGGGAGGGGAAGCTGCAGTGTTGAGGGGAGCAGGGTGGGGGCAGGTTCTGCCTGCAACTCACTTTGGTCCTGCTCCAGCATGGCTGGGTGGGGGAGTCCGTGGATGGAGGGGGACAGGAAGAAGCTCGGCTGCACATAAAACCCTGCTGGGCAGGCGTGGGACAGGCAGGTGAGGTAGGAACAGCAGCAGTTCTTCTGGAGTAAAGAGGAAGGACTAAGGGTGGCAAAGGTCAGGGGATTAGGGGTAGGACTTCTGGTCCCAGGATGGGGACCAGGGGCCAGAGCACCTGTCAAAGGGCTGGGCTGCCCTTGTGGCCCTTGACAGTTCACCAAAGCTCGTTAGGCAGCCCTCCAGTTGACATAATTGCCCACCCCTCTAGGGATGTGCAAAGCTTTGGTAGCTGATTTGATTTGGAGGAGATTCGGCCCAATCCAGGGACTGAATCTCTGAATCTGAATTAAATCGGGAGACTGGGTAAAAGCTCTGAACAGATTCAGAAAAAGATTTGGCTGATGTGGAGATTTGATCATAGATTAAATAGGCAAGTGGCAGCTGCCTCCACCTGGTAAGTCTGGGGTTGGAGGAGCGAAAGGGTGTGGGGGAGCGAGGGATTGGGGCTGGGACAAGCTGCCCAGCCAGGGTGGGGCGGGGGCATGTTACTCAGAGGGGAACTGGGGGTGCGTGTGATGTGGGCAAGGTAGTGCTGGGAGTGGGGGCTCTGCCTGCTGCTGCTTGCCCAGCCAGGGCAGGATACAGGCATGGCTTGCTCCAGGTGGAAGGGGGCAAGCAGTAGCAGGGCATAGCTCCTGCTCGCAGCGCTGCTGTGCCACATTTCCCCCCCCCCCCCGTGCCAGCTGGGCAGGCGGCAGCAGGTCATAGCCCTGGCAGCTCCCCACAGTGGGGCAGAGGCAGGCACAGCTGGGGTAGCCATGGGACAATCCCCCATGGCTGCCCCATGGTGTGGGTGCAGTGCAGCTTGGCAGGGCATGCTGTCTGAGAGCTGGGGCATCTCCAATAGTCAGCCAGAGCCTGGCAGCACGCGGCACCCTGCTGAGCTGCTCTGTACCCACACCATGGGGCAGCTGCCATGTGGGTACCAAGTGTTGGGTGGATCCCCAGTGCCCCATGCTGCATGGGAGAGGCTCTGCCACAAGCACCTAGAGACACCAAATCGCTGCTCCTACAGCCAGTGAGTGCAGGGTTTTTTTTTTAAGTGCTGGGACTAGGCGGGGGATGGGGCTGGGCAGGGTAGGCATTGGGGCTTCTCCCATGGCTCCCCTGACACCCTGTGGAGAGGCAGGCACAGCTGCAGGAGCCATGGGAGAACCTGCCGCCGCCCGGCTGTCTGCCTCTTCCCAGCCCATCCAAATCGGAGCCGAATCTTCTGACACCGATTCGGCCAAATCAATTCAGGACAGCGATCTGAATCTCTGAATTGAATTGCTGTCCTCCCAATCATCCAAATCCGAGTCGAATGCTTATCTATTTGCACAGGCCTACACCCCTGCTCTTGGAGAAGGACAGGAAGCATTAGTTGGGGGAGGAAGGGGGAGCCCAGAGACTCCAAAGGAATTGACAGCTGAGCGAGAGCCCTGGGGGCTGCAGCTTAAATCCTTGTAAGCCTCATGTGGCCCAAGTGCACCAGTTGAACAGCTTTGATTTAAGCAATAGAGGAAAATTGGGACTAGCATTTTGTTCTGCAGTTAAATGAATTATATGTATATCAGGTAAGTGTGTAAGTAGACTATACCTGAATGACTGCTTTTGTGGAGCTGGTGCTTAGGAGAAAAGGAGAAGAGTTGTCAAAAGTAGTATCACAGCTTGAAACTGAAAAAAGAAAAAAGGCTAGTAAAACGAAGCCTGCATAGCATATCTAGCATATTCACAAAGAATTCTATTTTTGCATAAAATCCTAATGTAAAAAGTGATCATATCTGTGTTGCTAATAATAGCTGTCTTACTAAAATAGAAGTTTAAATATCAACATCACTTTTAACTACTTTAACTATCTTATCAAATAACAAATATAACATTTAAAGATGCATAGAGTCTCCCAAAATATAAAGACAGATATTCATCTTCCATGTTCCTTTAACCCAAGTTGGTGTCTGCAGAAGTCTTATGTTCTTTTCTTATTTTAGTCTGTGACAGTTCCTTTATGTTTCTTGACCTTGGCATAATAATTCACTCTTTTTCCTCAGAACTCTGCAAAATACAAATCTTGCTATTTTCTGTTCATCTCTGCTTTTTATATTTTTAATTTATTTCATACTAATTTTTAAGTGTTAACTCAGACTTCAGTATTCAAAAATGCTTCTCAAAATGTTTTGTTTGGAGGCTGGAGAAGATTCTTTTTTAACGGATTTCCACCAAACTTCTAAGTAAGCGTCTCTCTCTCTCTCTTTCAGTCTCCCCTGTGAAACAGGCTTTGGTTTGGATAGGGATGATCCTGCCTCAGACAGGGGATTGTTGGAGTAGATGACCTATGGAGGGCCCTTCCAGCCCTACTTCTGTCTGATTCTATGGTAAGACTTTCATTACTAAAACTTCCCAAACTTCTTGAAACCTGTCAGCGAGTTAAAAGGGTATCACTTCGTTCCGGCTTTTGCAGTTGTAATTCTTGTAGCCACAAGACAATGATTAGGACCCCTCTGCACATGAGAGGTATTGCACAATTATCTGGCTAATTGCACAGTTACCTTTTAAGACCTGCTATATATGCAACATACTTATCACACCATAAAAAGCTCTAGCCAGCTTCAAAGATAAACATCCAAAAAGTGTACTAACTTTATAGCTGGTTGCTATTGAGCTTTAATGTGCACATGTAGCACATTTTCCCCTGCAGCTAGGAGCCCTGTCAGCTGACTGGGCTTCCAGCCACAGTGGGGCACAGTGTCCAGTGTGAAACCACTGGGCCACAGGGATTGCGGCTTTTGTGATCCCTCAGCTCCAGGGTGTGTGGGGTGCCCCCACAGCTGGGAGCCCCTCAACTGAGGTGGTGTCCAGCTGCAGGAGCTTGCTGCTTGCCAGTGCCAGGAGAGTGCAGATTGCACATTCAATCCCATCACGTCTTTACCTGCATGTGAGAGGGGGCCTAAGTGTTTCAGTTGCAGAAACTGGAAAAATGGGATTTTGATGTTGCCTGCAGTATGTTGCAGGTTCTAAATATGTTTTCTTTGAATAACTGTCTAAAAAGATATTGGTATGTTCTGACACATTAAAGCTTCCTAATATATTATTACAATTAAATTCTGCATTATTATGTGTAGGTGCTAAAAGTGATAGATACGTGCTTAGCTTCTTACATGTGTTATCTCAGATTTTCATTTTTGTTTTCATACAGGGGTGATTTATATGTAGAATTGGTCTAGAAGATTTCTTTTCCATGGTAATATATTAAGTTTGACTGGACAGTATATTTTTCTCTTTTTACCCAGTGCCTACTGTGAATTGGTGTTATCTAGTACACCAGTGATTACAAAGCTCTTGATAGATTGCGCACGACCAATTTACAACGTTATAACCTTAAGTACCACCAGCAAAGTTGTTGTATAAAGTAATAATAAATCTGTTAACACATACCATTGACAGGTTGTCTGTGTACCAGTAGTGATGTCCATACCACAGATTGGGAACCATTGCAGTACACCACATTTCTAGATGGATTGGCTTAACAGTAACCTTCAATGTTTGGAGTAGTTGATCCTCTCTTGCTGAAGTCTTGCAGTATGGAATTTTTTTATCCAGTTTCTTATTTCCTCAAAGAAATTTATCATAGTCTGCCAGTCACCTAAAATATTTGTTGGCACTATAATAAGTATAGCTTGGAATAGAAAATTAAAATGAATATTCCAGCTCAGATTAAGTGCTGTGATTCTGTCTACTCACGAGGTTAGTTACCAAATCATTTAAACCAGTTTTCAATATCTATTTTGATTCTTTCAGTGAAAGGAATATAACTACAGATGTAGAAGTCCTGCCATTTTTATTCACATTGACCCAAAAGTATTTTAATGAAGTAGTTACTTGTTATTTTTTATAATTATCTTTTTATCCTTTTTTAATATATGCTAATAGTTTATCATGTTTGTTTCTCTTTTCATAATATAGCTGTTTTGTATAGCAAAGTGTTCTTCCAGCTGTTTCAGTTGGTAACAAATCTAACTTGTTTTGGTTTCTATTAATTTTTTACATGCTTTCTGTGATTTTTTTTTTTTTGTTATTGGTCTGTTTTTTATTTTATTTTTTTAAATATCTTTACCACAATGCTTAAATTTTGCATTTCCTGTCTTCTAATCTTTCTCAAGTGAGACTACTTATTAGGTTGTCTCTCGTTACCTCAAACATCCCATAAAATATTATTTTTTTAAATTTTAGTTTGTATTACAGTGAAATGTAGCTCAATTTTCTCTTTCATTGGCCAGGAAAGATTCTGAACTTATAGAAGTGGGATATTCGCTTGCCAAATTTCATTCTGCATGTAGTCTCCCAACCTCTAATACATAACTGTACTGTTCCATTGCCAGACTAGACACTTCCACCTTCTTTTGCTGATTTAATGTTGTCAGATAATGATTTGGAAGTCAGGATTATATCTATTTTTATGTGCATGCCTGTATATAGTTAATGTGGTGTTGAATAAACAGATAAATCTTTCTTTTGGATTTGAATTTCTCCAGGAGTCATAAAATTCATGATTTTTTTTCTACTAATAATCATAGTGCTGTGTCTTATTTTCTATAGTTTGTTATACTTCTATCAGACCTGACTGCTTTTGAGTCCATAACCCAGTTAATCTCCTCCCAAAAGAACATTTCTCTCTCTTTTTCTAAAGTTTGACATAGCTTGGTGAAGAATGACCTCTAGTCCTAATTCGGTATGGTGTCTCATTGAGTGCCTTCCAGTGGGTGTTTGTTTGTGCCAGTGCGGCTTTGTTTGGTCTCTGAGAGTATCCTTTAGCCAGCCCTGCCATGGCTTCTAGAACAAGGCAGGAACCTGAGCTCCTTCCCATGCTGAAACCCCAGCTCTTCATCCCTTGCTATCCCTGATTCTCTGTGGCCCTGACTCAAGGAGCTAGCATCCAGTTCTGATCCTGAGAGAGGAACTACACTCCATTAGGGCAACCCAATGGATCCTGCAGTTCCAAGTAGCACAGCAGACAGTCTTTTTGGTAAATGCATTTATTGGGGCAAAGGCCAGCCAGCCAGAGACTCTGTTTGTCTTCAAAGGGATTAAGTAGTCCCTCTATCCTCAATCCAGCCCACACAGCTTTGAGAACCCCCCAGAATACTCAGTGATTCCCTTTCCAGTCTCTCCAGCTTCCTACAGTTTCTCCACTTCTTTCAGTCCCTGGACTCTTTTGGCCAGGAGCTGTTAACCCCCTGTTTTCCAGCCTGCTCTACTGTTGTCATGGTCATCTCCCCTTCATACCTCAAACAACCAAAATGATCAGGGTCCTGGAATAGTTGCCATATCAGAAAAGACTAAAAAGGTTAAGGACTGTTTAGCTTGAAAATACAGCCAAGGAGGAATATGTTAAAGGTCTAGAAAATCGTGAAGAGTATGGACCAAGTGAACAGGAACCTGCCATTCACTTGCTCCTAGAATACTGGAATGGGGGGTACCTGCTGAAATTAGTAGGTGATAGGTTTAAATCTAACAAGTGGGAGTACTTTTTATGTAATGAGTCGTTAACTTGTGGAATCCATTGCCACAGGAGGTGGTGGAGGCAAATGGCATAACCAGTTTTAAAAAAGGGACTGGATAAATTCACGGGTGATAGCCATTAATAGATCTATTAAACAGAATGGTTGGAGGTGTTGCCTGTAGCATCTCTATACCAACCATGGTGGATGCCCAGGAGGGTATTGAATAGGTGGGGCATAGGTCACTCTAGAGATTTCTCCCTTTATAGCATCTATTTCTGCCACTGTCAGAGACAGGCCTATTTGTTACATTGAAGCTATTGTGGGCCCAGGCCCACCAAAAAAACAAACAAACCCTAAACCTTCCTTTAAAAATGGAGGTCACTAGGAATGTAACAGCTAATTGCTTGGGATAAAAAGAAAACAGGGAAGGGAATAAGGGCCATAGGTAAATAACAAAGTATCTAGAAGGGGACATGGAGCAGAGCACACTGGCCAGTGAACTGAGGGAGCCTGTGAAACTATCCAGAGATGTGAGCGGAGGAGTGACTGGAAGACAGCTCCACCCTTGCTCAGGTTCTCCCTGGCCAGAACTTTCTTCCTGGTCTGGTTAGGTGGAGAGCTTGGCCAGAGCCAGGAGGAGGTTGACCCAGAGGTCCCATGACTTGGTAGGGCCATGGATGGGACTACATAAAAGAAAAGGTGTGGGGAGTAGTGCAGCCAGAACCTCAGCAAGATGCTCTAGAGGAAGCAGAAAAGGGGCTACATCCCAGTTTAGATGGACCCAGTATAGCACGTATGTTCTAACTATATTCCTTTTTTTTAATGTGGGTTTCTTGGAGAAAGCCAAAGCCTGGTACATCATCTTTAATGCCTTGTAGCACCTTCCTCTGTTTATTACTCTTGTTAAGACCGTTAATATTCATAGTGTAAATTTTCAGTTTATTATGCTTTACAAAAATAGGTTTCTCTCTGAATTGGTGTCTGTGTATTTGTAGTAGGCTAACATTTTATTTTCTGTAACCTAGTTGCATTCCCCTCCTCACCCCCATCCCTCTTATGTTAGTCCCTTGCTCCGGTACTCTGTATTTCCCTTATGGCTTTATTTTTATTTCATGACTTAACATTTTCTAATAAAACTAAATATTTTCTTGATTAGTTTGTGCTTCCTCATTGCTGCATTTGAGTGGTTCTCAGTTAATTCACACGCAACGATTAAAATATACCAGCTGCCCTTTTTGAAAAGGGTGAAGTTTTCAAAGGGCTCCAAGCCTTCTTGTATCTATACTCCTTTGAGTTTTTTAAATCTGCTGAGTACTCTACTTGTCCTTCTTATGTAAATACGAGCTTAAAGGGATAGCTTCATCTGTGTGTTATTTTTGCTTCTCTGAGACAGGAAGTGAAAGTATTAAAACCTATCTTTGTTAGTGAAGAATGATATGTCTTGGAAAATCTGTGTGTTGTATTAGCTCAGTTCAACTGCAGAGAGCTCTAGATGTCACAACCTTTTATTTTGGCTCAAAGTAATGCATTCTTAGAATTGCATCTCTAGGCCTAGGAACAGAAGTTGTGCCTGCATTTGTCCTGGAAAAGAAATGTCCCAGGATAAATATGTACACACAACACCATTTCAATTGGGAATATTCATGAATGGCTGAATATTGGCTTTTCTACCATTAAATTAATGATGCAATCCCAGGACAACCACACAGATGGACTTGGCGATGCTCCAAGATTAAACTGTTAGTAATTCTTATCCCATTAACCTTTTATAGCATTTACCTTGAGACAGTGGACATTGGATGTCTGAATGACTGCACTTTGTCCTGGGATAATATGGTTTATTCCAAAATAAATACAATATCTGTTTACAGGTCTGTTGCTGGGGGAGCTCAAGCAGTGAGTGCTGCCCCCATCCCGCCCCCCTAAGCAGCGAGTGCAGGCCCCTGCATGTATGGGCACCGGCCCAGGCATGCAGCTCCCTGCTGTGAAGGACTGCCCCCTTCCCCTGCTGAAGGGCCAGGTGCCTTCCCTCCTCCTGCCCTGCCACACATGTGCACTTACACCCCAGTTCTCTGGACAGTACCCTGGACCTCCAACCCTGCTCCCCATACACTTACCTGTGTCCAGCAGCCAATGACCCAGCCTCACTATGCTGGCCACGTGCATCTGCATGTGCAAATGGATGTGTGCTCGTTGCTTCCAATTGTCCCAAGCAGCCCTTTGCAGGCTGGAACACTGCCAGCCTGCAAAGGGAAATACATGCTTTTGCGTGTTTTTTCTGGGACTTGCTCACGACCCTTGCGCACATTCTTGCAACCCACTGGTTGAGAAACACTGAACAAGATGACCTCCAGAGGTTCCTTCCAGCCCTACTTCTCTATGATTCTATGAAGAGTATACTCAGACCCTAGTGGACCTCCTAGCTCATCTCATAACCTGTTTATGTGTCTGTATTCCGAAGTGATGCTCTGCATCTCTGTCCTGATCCAGAACGTTGTAAGGAGAGAATCTTAGCTCCTTTTTGATACCAGAATTACCTTGTTCTTTAAAGGTTTGGTTTGTAAAGTGAAGTATTGTTAAAACACTTTGATCTACTTTTATAAATATATTTTATTTTTTTAATTGCAATAGAATGTTTTTTGTCAGCATTAATGTTGACTATTCTGGTTTTTTATTTAGCTGGAGGAATGGAGCCAGTTATCAAGTGATACCTGTTGTGAATCCCTTCTTCCAGCACAGATGCACATGACATCCTTCCCTTTTCCATAATGCTGTGGTGATGAATTCTTCTATGAATGCAGCCAGCAAAGGAGTTTCCACAGGGATTGCCAATAGGTTCTTCAATTGCATTGCATCCTGGCTGCTGTTGAGTGCAGTGGTGGTGTTTTCACTGCACATCATTGTGGTGTGTTGTTTTTTTTTTCTTTTAAATTCCTTAGACAGAAGGGTATTTATTTGATTCATAACAATGAGTATGGAGGAGGGAGGTCTTATTATTTGTCTTTATTATCTGAACATTGTTTGTTTGAAGCTAGCTTAATAAAAAAAAAAAGTGGTGTTCTTTTGTCAAACTCAAATGATTGCATATGACTTTATTCTCTTTTGTAATATGTAAGGAGTAAAAACATTCAACAGGTTTTTTTTTGTTTTAGGTTTTTTGTGGAAATGTATAACAGGGAGTTTGTTTTTCTTTTGGAAATAGGTTTGTACTAGTTTGGAAAACTATGGCAAATGTAATTTTCAAAATAAGCTTGACAGTTGATTAAATACGATTCCTTTGTGACCTCCATTCCAAAGTCTTTTGACTTTGTATGGGAATTGATTGGTTTGTTGAGTAAAGCATATAATGTGTGATCTAGTTGAGTTGTTTTTTCTTTTGTCATTCTTCTGTGTCAGTATATTAGAGAGCAATATTTGAGTTCTGAGCTGCTTCCCTTTTATATTGTGAGTATTGCCAAGCCATTTCATGCTACGGTACATTGTCTACAGAGTTTCTGGGGTTCCTTTTTTTTAAACCATGGCAGGCTTTTTCCCTTCATGAAAATGCATGTTTTATTGTTGTCTGTTAGATAAGTAAATATAGATAGTATTAGATCAGTTTGGGGGTCAGTTGTGTCTTTGGCTGGATCTCTGGCAGCTTTAGTGTTTTAACTTTCAGATTATTTTTCTGTCTTTTTCAGGTTTCTGGATATCAGCCTCTGAAAAGAAATGAAGTTGTAAGAGGTATGCTTCGTGTAGCCAAAACAGTTTTTGACAAACATGCTGTAGGGAAGAAGGCCATTCATTCCTTCAGCAGGTGTCCATTTGCCTGTCCTTTTACTCGAGTCCCAGAAAACGAGCGGGATGTGAATAAGAACGTCTACTGAACCAAAAAGCTCATGACTTCTAAGTAGTGTTTCTGTGGTCTACACTGAAAAATAGTGCTGTACTTAACACTAATTGGAAAACTTCTGTTCAGAGAGGCATCTACAGCAGACTTACTGTTACCTTGACAATATTCTGTTTACTGCAAGAGGTCTCAAACAAACTTCCTAACTTTCTGTTTGGCATTAATGCTGAGAGAGAGCAACATCATGGGAAGCCCATGGTGACAGTAAATACTACCTAACCCACCACTCCTTCCATGAAGGGTTTTCTTTCTATAGAATGGATATAGCATAGTATGCTTCAAGTACCCTTGGTAGTTGCTCAACTGGAATATTTTGGGTTGTTGACACACAAGCAGTTGGGATAGTCTTAAAGATCTGGCTGTTATGGAATATCATCATCAGTGTTGTCTCCAACTCTTGGTTATTGGCAAAGTTTTTATATCAAAGCAGTAACTGGCTTTGGGAACTGGCATCACTGGCTGGATAATCTATTATGAAAGTCTTCCAGTACTCGCATTACTACCCCCATCACTGGAGGTGTGTTAAGAAGATATTGGATTGCACTGGTCAGGGATGATTTAGGAATAGTACATCTGTGCTCTGCTCTGGATATTTCCTATGGTTTTGGGCTTTGCATTCTAGGAATTCTGGGAATTTTTTCCCCCTTTTGCTACTATGTGTACTGCAGGGGAGGGGAGGTTTGCTGCCTTGGAAATATTGGGGGTTGGCTGCAGCCAGGGCTGAGGATTTTGAGTGAGGTGTGCCAGTACTTCTGTTGGAACTTGCAACCAAAGGTTCCTGGCTTAGAGGGTCTTACCTCTCTGTTTAAGATTGGACAGATTGCCATATTTGGGGTCAGGAAGGAATTTACTGGGGGTGCACCAATAAAGATTTTTTTTTTTGGCCGATACCAATGGCTGGTTGTTAACCAGCCATATTGAATGATACCTATCCACTTGTCCATATGCAACCCAGTGGCTTGGAGAGCAGCATCCAGCTAGTATTGGGTCAGATCAAGGCCCCCATGGTGAGGGGGGAGTGTGGCTGA